TCCAACCCTAAAGTTGCTAAAGCCAAGACCCTATACCCTGAACCCTGCAGGCGTTTCCGGGCTAGCTCCCTTCTGCTGATGCCCAAACTGTGTCACCAGCCTGGTAGCAGCTGCAACGAATCCCCCAACCATCAACCCCCCAAACCCCAAACTCCCAAACCCTAAAATCTAAACCCTGACATCCCTCAACCCGTAAACCCTAAACCCTCAACCCGTATACCCTAAACCCTAAACCCTAAACCCGTAAACCCTAGACCCTAAACCCTAAACCCTAAACCCTAAACCCTAAACCCTAAACCCTCCCTGACCCTGGAGCTGTGAGCCCGGAGGTTCGTGACGCTCACCATGCTCCTCTTCCTCACTGGTGGGACCCGGGCAGCTCGGAAGAACACCCACAGCTCCAGGGTCAGGGAGGGTTTAGGGTTTAGGGTTTAGGGTTTAGGGTTTAGGGTTTAGGGTTTAGGGTTTAGGGTTTAGGGTTTAGGGTTTAGGGTTTAGGGTTTAGGGTTTAGCTTTAGGGCCTCGGGCTTAGGGGGGGGTTCAGGAAGCCTCGCGAAATCCATTCAGAACCCAAGTTCCGGGTCACCCTAAACCCTAAACCCTAAACCCTAAACCCTAAACCCTAAACCCTAAACCCTAAACCCTAAACCCTAAACCCTAAACCCTAAACCCTAAACCCTAAACCCAAACCCCAAACCCCAAACCCGAAACCCTGAACCCTGAACCCTGAACCCTGAAGCCGCGAAATCCATGCAGAACCCAAGTTTCGGGTTTGGGTTTCGGGACCCAGAAGCCGAATTCTCAGAAACCTTGAGAAGCTGACCCCTGCTGGAAGGTTCATGAGTCAATGGGAGCTAAGCTTAGACAATCGAGTACCTCATTCATGCATTGGCTAAAGCCGCCCATGAAGCTTCAAGGAAGCCGTAAGCTCCAAAACCCTCTGTTATCCTGAGGTCGTTCTTTCGTTACATCCCTTGCCATTAAAGATCTGGTTTGTTTTGCATGTCTATGGTGCTGCAACCCCAAAACATGAGCTCCAGGCCCTTAAGTTAAAACCCCTAAACCCTAAACCCTAGAAGCCCTAAACCCTAAACCCCAGAAGCCCTTAAGCCCAACAGGCCTGGCCTTGGAAAGTGCCCTTACTGAATATGCTGGATTGCTTCATGATTCTTGGAGGCATTTTGGGGGGTTTAGGGTTTAGGGTTTAGGGTTTAGGGTTTAGGGTTTAGGGTTTAGGGTTTAGGGTTTAGGTTTTAGGGTAATTTAGGGTTTAGGGTTTAGGGCTTAGGGTTATGGGGTTTAGGCGTTCAAGGTTTAGGGGTCATGGGCTTTTCAGGGTTTCGGGTTATGGGGCTTTTAGGCTTTTGGGGGTCATTGGGTCTTTCTCGCGTTTAGGGTTAGAGGGTTAGGGTTAATATAGGGGTCGGAATACTTGCCAATAATATTCAGTTCTGGCCCCTTTGTAATTATGCTACACTAACCCCCAAAACCCTATTCTAATTATTCAGGCCGCTATATTACCAGGTTTAGGTTCTGCTGCAGACGGTCGGTTCTCTAAGCTTGGACCTGCCTTCTTGGGATTTCTTTGTTCGACAGCAGGTGGAGATTTTACTTGACTTCAGTTTAGGGTTTACAAGGCTGAGATGAGAAGGGGCCATGACACACGAACTTTTCATGGAACTGAAAGAACAAATTGAGAGCTAAGATAGGCTTCCGGCACACGGCTGTGGCACCCTCCCCCCCCCCTCCCTCCCCCTTCCCATTCAGGAAAGGAAGTATACGTTTTCTAGGTTTCCCCTAGGCATAACAGTAAATATGCTTGCCCCGAGGCATAACAGGTAAATATGCAAAGGCCCAATAAGTAGTCTATCTCAGGCTTCCAGTACCTCTTACAACGTTTGGCTTGCGTACTGTTATGCTTGTTGTATATAAGTACCTCAAATGCGCTTACCATTTTAGGTTAGCATACTTAGAGCTCTTCTTTCTAGAGAACTCTACTTCTAACTTCTGAACCAACGGGAACCCACCTTCAAAAACTCGAGTTTGAACTTGGGCCTTCTGACCAGGTTGTCGAGCTCCAATTTCGACCCAGCCAGAGTCTGTTTAAGTTTGGGGTTGAGGGTTTACGGTCAAAAAGAAAAGAATGTCGTGACTCTGCCGGTGAAGATATCCGATGCGTTGGCCGAAGAGACGCGGAGGTTTTCACGATTTTGTCGCTTTGGCTCTCCTGCTTTCGCGCTGCAGAACATCGACATAAGGTTAACCTCGTAGCCCCAGACCCCCCAAACCCCTAAACCCTAACCCTCAACTCCATTCTGGATCCGCGAGGCCTTCAGACCTAAACCCTGAACCCCAAACCCTAAACCCTAAACCCTACACCTTCAGCTGTTCTTGAACCCTTGCAAGGACATTCTGCGTGGTGCTGCTGGTGGCTACTACAGCGCCGCTCAGCTTTTCAAGAGGTTTATGGAGCTTCGGGCGTTGGCTCCAGGGCTTAAGGTTGAGGGCTTAGGGCGTAGGGTTTAGGGTTTAGGGTTTAGGGTAATTTAGGGTTTAGGGCTTAGGGTTTGGGGTTCTCATGCTTTGGTCTGGACGGACAGCTCGGGGGGGACTGCAAACAGATCAGCCTCCCCACCCCCCAAGAAAAAGCACACAGCAAGACACAAGCCCGAAAATCTAAATCCTGGCGGTCGTTTGCGATAACCTTTCAACCCCTCCCACGCCTACGATCCAGCCTGTTTCTGCCTTTTGCCCTAAGCTCCAGAGTCTCCCAAAAACCGTGAACCCTGTTTAGGGTTTAGGGTCTAGGGTTTAGGGCTTAGGGCTTGGGGCTAAGGGCTTAGGGTTTAGGGTTCTGTGGGTGAGGGCTGAAGTTCGGGTCTAGGGTTTAGCGCCTAGGATTCCAAGCCGCCCAACCCCGCCCAACAATCCTGAAGCAGAGCAGCTGAAAGAGTCCACTTTACACCTTCTTGGGATACTAGAGCCCCCTGAACCCGAAACCCTCAACCCTAAGCCCTGTTGCAGCACTGAAAGTGTACACTTTTTGGGCGGGAACTTGTGAACCCAGCAGCTCCCAGCCGCCAACCCTGCGCCCCAAGCCCTAAAGCCCAAACCCCAAACCCTAAACCCCAAACCCTAAACCCCTAAACCCCTAAACCCCAAACCCTAAACCCCAAACCCTAAACTCTAAACCCGAAGCCCTAAACACAAGAATCCTGAAGCACAAACCCTAAACCCTAAAGCCTAAAGCCTAAAGCCTAAACCCTAAACCCTAAACACAAGAATCCTGAAGCACAGCATACGAGGCTCCAGGTCAAGGCCTTGGATGAAGGCTGCTCGGAAGGACATTAAGGTTGAAGCTTTGGGTTTTGGGGTTTAGGGTTTGGGGTTTGGGGTTTGGGGTTTGGGGTTTAGGGTTTGGGGTTTAGGGTTTAGGGTTTAGGGTTTTGGGGAAGAGGACAGGGCTTTAGCTTTAGCACCTGCTGAATGCGGGGTTTAGGCTGTTTAGGGCTTCAAGGCATAGGAGCACACATAGGAGTATGTGGTGCTGAGCCTTACTTGAACCCTAATCCCAAAGCCTTTAACCCTTTCAACTCTCGAACCTCAGGATGTTTCCCCTTATGCTCGCAGTCCTTAATCGGGCTTATGGTACCCCCCCCCCCCCCCTATTATACTCCCTATGAAGGACTATTTGCCTAAGGGGGAACAAACCCTAAAACCTAAGCCCTAAACCCTAACCCCCCCCCCCCCCCCCCCTTCAGACGGCCCTATAAACTTTAAACCCTTTCGGGGGCCTAGGCCTAGACCTTCAATTGTGGGGTACTTTGAGGGTTCCATGCCCGGGGTTGCCCCGCCGTTCCCTTGTTCCCTTGCTCTCTTGTTTTTTTTTTTTTTTTTTTTTTTCGCTTCGCTAAGGGTCCCTGGTACCCTAAACCCTAAACCCTAAACCCTAAACCCTAAACCCTAAACCCTAAACCCTAAACCCTAAACCCTGAACCCTGAACCCTGAACCCTGAACCCTGAACCCTGAACCCTGAACCCCCCCCCCCCCCCCCCCGCCCATTCCCCATGAATCCCCTCCTGAGCCCTCAACCTTAAACCCTTAAAGAACCTCAGGGCCCCCCCTTCCACGCAAGGAGGCTCATCCCTAAGAAGTTCGAGGGTTTAGGGTTTAGGGTTTCGGGTTTAGGGTGTAGGGGTTTAGGGCTTTAGGGCTTTAGGGCTTTAGGGCTTTAGGGCTTTAGGGCTTTAGGGCTTTAGGGCTTTAGGCTTGTAGGGGTTTCGGGGAGGTAGATAGACTGAAGCTTGAGACCAGCACCCGAGCAAGCCTGAACCTTGATGTCTTACTCCCCTTGCGGAAGTCACAAGGCCCTACTGGGCCAATGAAAGATGTACTAAGAACTGTACTTGTAGCCATATTAGGCACTTAAGGGGCTTATGAGTGGGCTATAAGTACAGTTGTACTTGGTGGATAAGTACCATGAACCTCCAAGTACAGAATTCAGAAGGCTCTATATGAGTACTGTTCCCACCCTTGGGGACCAAATGAAGCCTAAAAGGTTTTAGGGTGTAGGGTTTAGGGAAAGAAACCCTGGACCCTGCTGCACACCCTAAACCCGACAATAGACCCCAGTAAACTTTGAGAGGTTGACATTCTCGGGCTTAAGGTCAGGAAAAGATGCTTCCGTGGCCTTCCTTGGATGGAGATTCAGCGTCCAGTGCTTGGTTTAAGGTTTAGGGCTTTAGGGCTCAGGGCTTTTGGTTTAAAGTTTTGGGTGGTGGCTTGAGGATTCCGGTCTTCAGGGTAATTAAGGGGGTCTTAGACGTGAACTTTGGTCCGTTAGGAAGGGGAATGGTTGGCAACAGTATTCTCCTACTTTCCGGGTCTCCTCGCAGGGTTTGGGGGCACCTTCTTGCGCAGAAGCCTTTTAGGACGATGAGCTGCGACGGCAAGGTTTGGGCACTTTCTGTGTAGAAGCCTTGTAGGGCATTGTAGGGCCATGAGCTGCGACGGCAAGGTGTGGGCGGATGTTTCCTGGGCCATGACCGGAGCTCCCATTCGCAGGCTGCTGGTCGATGATTGCACCTTGGTCAGGGAGCTGAAGGAGATGTTGGAGGCAACGGCCAAAACACCAGTCGCGTTTGAGGGTTTAGGGTTTCGGGTTTAGGGTTTAGGGTTTACCCCAAACAGTAGGATTCCGCCTTATAATAAGGACCTGAATAAGGTACCCGTAATTTTCGGAAACCACCATCTTGGAGGCACCGGCCAAAACACCCGTCGAATTTCTCGAGCTCCTTTGCAATGGAGAGGTGCTCCGCGATGTTTCTTGCATCTCCCACACCTTCGCCCGGACGGGCTACGTGGAACTGCTGGCTTTCCGCACGGAGCCACCGAAGCTTCTGGAGTTTCTGAAGGTGACGCGGGCGCATCGGTTCACCATCTGGGACGCGGACACGGATCGCGAATTCCTGGCCATGGAGCGGAAGGACGTGAGGATCGCGAAGTACATCATGGCAGCAGACAGGGATGGCAGCATCGTCAATGAGCGAGATGCGTGGTGGCAGGAAGTCAATGGCTACGACTCCTACAACCGGTGCACCGCCCTGCATTACGCAGCCGCCTGGGGCCAGGCCCGCATCTCCAAGGCGTTGCTGGATCATCCGGCCTTTCGGGAGGCCGATGCCCAGGCTGATGTCAGCATGCCCTTGTCCTTCTACTGCAGGGTGGACTACTGCGAACACTCTTGCACAGCCCTGCATGCTGCGATTGCGTGGGGCCATGGGGAGATCTGCTCGCTCCTGCTGAAGCACCGGCGCTTCACGGCAGTGGCCGACGCAAACGCCGCGGGCCAGACAGCTCTTCATGTGGCCGTGCTCGCAGGGAGTCCACAAGTAGTTGAGGAGATCCTTGCAGATGGGCGCGTGGACATCCAGGCCCGCACGCGCGACGGCCACACCGCACTACACCTGGCGCTGCTCATTCGCCAGGAGGAGAGGGTTTAGGACCCTAAACCCTTAAACCCTAAACCCTAAACCCTAAGTTTACCTGGCGAGGAGGGGCCCGGGCGAAGACTCGCTGGATCTGACAAGATCATGGCGATGCTCCTTGAGCACGCAGGCAGCCTGAAACTAGGTATCGAGTTGGGACATTTTCTGAATTTCCCTTATTGTTTCAATATTAAGGGTTTAGGGTTTAGGGCTTAGGATTTAGGGTTTAGGAGCCCGAATAATAGATCATTTTGGGGGCTCTTGAAATCGACACCTAGGAAATGGGACGTGCTGCAGGAGGCTGTAGAAGACCTGGACAGATGGCTCGTGCGAGCTATCGTCAGGTGCCTCCCCGGAATGGACAAGTTCCGGGCTGGCATCTTGGCTTTCTAAACCCTAAACCCTAAACTTTAAACCCTAAACCCTACACCCTAAACCTTAAACCCGTTGATTTTTTGGGTTTTTGTAGAAGCTACAAAAAGGAGCCCAAAAGTTAAACTTTTTGGAGGGGTTCCGAAGTCAGCCAAGGCCTTCTCATGGTCAAAGGCCATCTGAAGCTTGATAGCCCATTGGTACCCTTTACTCCCTTTTTTCCTTTGTAAAGTAAGCCAACCAAAAAAGGGTTTAGGGTTTAGGGTTTAGGGTTTAGGGTTTAGGGTTTAGGGTTTAGGGTTTAGGGTTTAGGGTTTAGGGTTTAGGGTTTAGGGTTTAGGGAAAGTAAGCCAACCAAAAAATGGTGCCCTTATTTATCATCCGGTTACGGGGCTGCTAAGGAACACGGCTCTGCTGTTTTCAGAAGACGTTACGACAAAGGAGGCTCACCGTCGCAAGCGGGACTTGCGGAAGCGGAAGGCAGTTCGAAAGCAGCAGCATGTGTTGAGGAAGGTCCTGAGAGATCAACCCCTTGAGGTAAGGCAGCCAGCCCAATCCATAACGAGGCCCAATGCCAAAAGCAGCTGGAAGCAGACTGAATTTGATTTTGTTCTTTGCCTCTGAGCTGTCGCCCGAACATGTACAGTGTACAGCGCGATGCAGTCCGGCAACCAGCCTCAGCCTTCTAGAGCCATTCTCAGATTTCTGAACGTATCTGAGTGGATTTGGGCTGTGGGAAAGAAGCTTCAGCAGAGGTGCGATTTCTCCTTAAATCTTCGACGTACGCCACCACCAAGACACACCCTAAACCTTAAACCCTAAACCCTAAACCCTAAACTGTGAACCCTAAACCCTAAACCCTACACTCCTCTTTGCAGCTGTGATCGCGCGCCTAGGTATGCAGGCATACGTGGCGACGTTCTCCACAGTGATTCTGTGCCTTGGCCCAGCACAGTGGCTTAGATGTCTCAGGGTTTAGGGTTTAGGGTTTTTAGGGTTTAGAGGCAGTGGCCCAAGTTCTCGAGCTGACAAGTCAGGCCCTAAGCCCTGAACCCTACCGGAAGCCTTCCCAACTATCCTCTGAAGATCAGTTGAAACTGCAAGCATCCATTTTCCATGCTCAATGCAAGAGTTGTTAAGACTTGTTTTGCTTAGGTAGGGGCTTCGGGTTTAGGGTTTAGGGTTGAGGGCTTAGGGTCGGGGGGTTAGGTAGACCCCAAGCATCGCAGACAGTTGTCCCTTAGCTGCTTGGCACATGCGGGTTCTTCTAAGTTACAGAGAGTCCCTTTTGAGGCCTTTGTCAGGGTGTATTTCTTATAACTTGGGCTTAGGCTTAGACTACCAAAAAGGATCAGATTCTCCCTCCACCTGCACTCGTCACGAGAAGTCATTCATCAAACCCCAAACCTGAACCCGACCAGTCAACAGACGTTCGAGGCGCACAAGGGTTCCGGCTTTGGCCTTTCAACCCGACACCCAAAGCCAGTAGAAGCGTCAGTTTTCCCTCACCTCCAAGGACCTTCTTTGTAGGTGCACGGTTCTCGGGTTTCGGTCGTGAATTGTCAATTAAGCAAGGTGAATATGGCTGTAAGAAAACAACACTTGAGCGCAAGTTGTGTTCGACTGCGGCCTGCTTGTTGCCTGCGTGTCGCACCTCCCATCGTTGAATCTCAGACCCTTGGATGTTGCGTAGGACTACGAGAAGACGAGTCAGCGCTAAGGGTCTGGGATGACCTTCATTTCAGTCTTCGGGGTGTGGCGACCCGACTCGACACTGTAGAAGAACGTCACCCCATAAGAATCCTGCGTGCTGTCTCTATTCTGCAAATCCGCTTGACATGAAGCACGGATGAGTGGTCACTCCTGCCAGCTACTAGTATCAGGGTTTAGGGTTTAGGGTTTAGGGTTTAGGGTTTAGGGTGCAACTTCAGGGTTCGAAGCTTTAAGCCGCATCAATGGCTGAGACCGAAACCCTAGGGCCTAAACCCCAAATCTGTGACACTAAACCCCCAAACCCCAACCTAAACCCCCAAACCCCAAGGCAATTGACCCCCATGACCCTTGAAGCCCCAAACCTGTGACGCCTTGCCCAAGGAGCCTCCTCGGCTTGTCCATGCTCTTGCCCCTCCGTCAGCCCAAGATCTAGGTGTTGCTTTTTTTGGTTCGGGGGGGGGGGGGGGGGGGGGGGGGGGTTTGGGGGGGGGCGGAGGAGGGTTTAGGGTTTCGGGTTTAGGGTTTACAGGGTTTACAGGGTTTAGGTTTACAGGGTTTACAGGGTTTACAGGGTTTACAGGGTTTACAGGGTTTACAGGGTTTACAGGGTTTACAGGGTTTACAGGGTTTACAGGGTTTACAGGGTTTACAGGGTTTACAGGGTTTACAGGGTTAGCAGGGTTAGCAGGGTTAGCAGGGTTTGGGTGGGGGGGGGGGGGTGGGGGCGGGGGAGGGTCTGGGTTAAGGATTTAGGGTCGAGGGTGTTGTTCAAGGTTAAGCTGTTGAGAAGAGTCTTCTGGCGACTTGGCGCGTTGGTGCGCCACATTTCCTTAAGCGCCACGACTCAAAACCCTAAATCCTAGGCCCTGAACTTAGGGTTTAGGGTTTAGGGTGTAGGGAAACCCTAAAGTTTAGGGTTTGGCGTTTAGGGTTTAGGGTTTGGGGTTTGGGGTTTAGGGTTTAGGGCTAACCCTGAACCCTGTGGCCCTCCAGAGAAAATCAAAAACGGTTGCAAAATTATACTTTGGGCCCCCTAGCAATATCACTTGAAGGTGCCAGCCCTTAGCTTGCAACCCTAAACCCTACTTGGAGGTTCATGGGAACTTCTGAGTAGGGTTATAAGCGCCCTAAATAAGGCTGTAACCATAATTAATTACCCTACTTAGATCCCTACGTATACTTCTAAGTACCCATGAACCTCCAAGAAAGCCCTCCTTAAACCCTGAATCCTAAACCTTAAGAAGCCCGACTACAAAACCTATAGAATTCCTCAAATCCAAGACACCGCAGAATCCCGAAAAGTTCAAGCCATGCAAAACCCTAAAGCCTTAAAATGCACTTCACAAGAAAGAGACTCAGCAACCCTAAAAGCCGCGCAAAAAGGCCCCCAAAAAAACCTTCAAGCAGCCCTAAGAAGCCTGAAAAACGCCTTCGGCCATGCCTACAACAACCCATTGAAATGCCTCAAAACACCTTCTTTCGACCACCTAACAACTCTTTCACAAAAGGCCTCGAAGCCCCCAAAGCCATGTCTGGGGGGGGGGGGGGGGGGGCAATTTCAGGCTCCTTCTCAGCACCAGTTCCGCACTCCTCTTCCGCGGCGCGCTGGGTGGACAGCAGCCGGGCCGGCTTCGGAGGTTTGTTTTTGTTTCGGTTTTATCATGAGTTGTTTGAGACATTCTTTGAAAGTCGGGTTTTGTTGTTTGTTTAGATTTTTGGGCTTCTTTAGGGTTGTTTTAGGATTGTGGGGGCTTTTGTGGGGTGGCTTTTTCGGTTGTTTCAAGGGGTTTAGGCCCAGTGAAGCTGTAAGGTGAAGAGGCTTATAAGGGTCAGAGCTTAGGGGGCTGTCTTGCTTGGGGTCGCGGCTTGGCTAAGGATTGAGCCTTAAACGGACAAGCTCTTAAGCCATCTCTTTTTCGAGCTCTTAACACGGTTAGCTTAGGGGCACCAAAAAAAGCAACAAACTTCCACTTTGAGAACACCCCTCCCCCTGACCCCCCTCCATAACTGTGGTAGTTCGGGATCTTAGAGGGCTTGGGGCGCGTGGGCTGTGTTGGGTTGATGTTCAAGCTTAGGTTTACGTAAACTTCCCGCGTCATTTCAATTCATTCGCATTCCTTGGATTTGCACGCGCTCCAGGCGCGGTTTTACTTTCAGAGGAAATACTAAGGAAAAAGGCGGAAAAGGGTCAGGGTTGTGAATCAGCTCATTTAGGTCATCATCTATTTTTCGAGCTCTTTAAGAGGGTTTAGGGTTTAGGGTGAGGAGGAAAGGGGATTGTCCAGGGTCATCGTTTCTCCATGGTTTTCTTGTGCTGTCTTGCAAGCTGCTTCTGTGTATGTCTTCCCATGTGTGTTGGTTCTGCTCTTGTGGTTCCACTTGTCATTGTTTTGTTGCGTGCCATGTTGGCATTGGTGTTGGTACATATTCTTGTGTTGTCCCTCTTTGTGGTCCTGCTTCTCTGCACTGCCTCCTTTTTATTCCCACCTTTCCCCTTTTTACCGACCCGTCATCAGACAGATGCTACTGAATGTTCTCCCTTTGTGAAAACACGCGGGGTTTCAATTACTGCGGCTATTAGGCAGAAACCGCCCAAGTGACAGCACGCCTCTTGGAGTTAGAGCGATGCGAAGGGTGAGCTTGCGCGCGTTTCTCTGATGCAGGGACGATGCCACAAACCCTAAACCCTAAACCCTAAACCCTAAACCCTAAACCCTAAACCCTAAACCCTAAACCCTAATCCTAAACCCTAAGACCCCCCCCCCCCCCATGGTGCTGGACTTCGGCCCTGGAGGCGCCCAGATGTCCCCCCGCCCCCCCCCAAAAGGTTTGAGGACTTCCGGTTCCCTGTGAATTTCTTGTGGAACCCAGCTAGGCCCTAAGTCTAGCATATCCCACTTGGGGTCCTGGGGTTTAGGGTTTGGGGTTTAGGGTTGAGGGTTTAGGGTTTAGGGTTTAGGGCTACTCTTCGGGTGGTCGCACTTTTGAGAAGTGCGAGCCGTTGCTGCGAGCAGTCTTTTTGGGGCTTCGGGGATCTGGGGTAGTCAGGATTGTTTAGGGTTGCTCAAACCCTAAACCCTAAACCCTAAACCCTAAACCTTAAACCCTAAACCCTAAACCCTAAACCCTAAACCCTAAACCCCAACAAAAAGCTGCCGGCAAGGAAAGAGCTGTTCATCTTCAACTTGCAGAAAGCACCTCGGCTAGATCTAGTCGCTTGGGGCTTCGTCATGGTGCCTGTGGCCTTTGCTAAACCCTAAACCCTAAACCCTAAACCCTAAACCCTAAACCCGACGGTTCCTCATTCCTTGCGGCCCTCATTCCTTGCGGCCCACCCGCCTTGCTGCTGGCAGAGTCAGGGGTTGGGGGAGTCATGGGTCCATGCACGCTTTTGCAGAGCTTGCTGGTGAGTTCGCTACTCCACGGTATGAAGCGGCTCTCCTAGTACAACGAAATTCGGAGCCTCTTCTAGACCTTAAACACTCACCACCACGGCACCCTCTAGACCCCCAACCCTAAACCCTCAACCCTACCCCAAACCCTAAGCCCTAAAACCCTAAACCCTAAACCCTATGAAGATGCCTTGCCTTGAGGTCCCGGGAGCCATTTCCATGTCCAGCAAACTGAAGATCATTGCAGCAGAGTTGGCTCCTTGCCGGAACAAAAACCGAAACCCCTAAACCCCTAAACCCCTCTACCCCTAAACCCCCTAAACCCCTAAACCCCTAAGCCCCTAAACCCCAACCCCTAAACCCCTAGACCCCTAAACCCCTAAACCCCTAAGCCCCTAAACCCCAAACCCCAAACCCTAAACCCTAAACCCTAAACCCTAAACCCTAAACCCTAAACCCTAAACCCTAAACCCTAAACCCTAAACCTTCATGAAGGAACCGTGTAATCCCAGGAAGAAC